AATATTACTATAGTATGGACTGGAGTTTTATCTACTGAGTAATTATCTGTCTTAGAGTTTTAGCCAAGTACTATGTTTCCACTATCCGGTCAATAAATAGGTACCTACATATGGGAGGTGAAAATGAAGCCCGTCTTCCTTGAATCATTTATTTATCCAATATCTCTCCCACATGGACGGTATGTTAGCCCTTGTACTTGGCACTTGGAATAAAAAGATAATTGGGTCTTTGCCCTTAAAGAGTTCAAAACTATCTAAGAAATCAAAATGAAACATTTTTAGGAGCAATTTTAGATTTTGGTATGTTAAAAGGTACACTTTAAAGCAAGTGCACATAACTCAGATTTCATTATTCAATATTTTAAACATCTCTAGAAGTCTGAAATCGTTAACAAATATTGGGATTGGGTATTTTGTGTTTGTCAGAGAGAGGGTCTAGAAGATAAACAGGGAAGTCAGACAAACAATTTGGGAAGGGGAAGAAGTCTCCTGCAGGGCCACACCTTCCTTCTTGCTTCAATTCTGCCTCCCTGCATTTCTTCTTACCAGGTCATTTCTACCCTGATATGGTAGATGCAGTGCCTATGACTGTTGGACTGGTGGGCTGGGTCTCTCTAGGGAGAACAAAGTAAAGAATCACTAGCACGAGCAGCGTAGTTTATAAAACTCAAGTCAACAATAAGTTAAGGCAAAATAGGTTTTGCCCTTTCTCCTCTGTTGTGTGTGCTGTCTTCGCTTTCTACCTTCCACCCTCTGCCATAACATGACACAGCACGAAGGCTCTTGTCAGATGTGGACACCTGGATCTTGGGGTTCGCAGCCTCCAAAGCGATAAGAAATAAATTTCTTTTCTGTATAAATTACCCATTCTGTGGGAGAAAATTTTTGCAAACTAAGCATCTGACAAATGTCTAATGTCCAGTATCTATAAGGAACTTAAACAAACTTACAAGAAAAAAACAAATAGCCCCATTAAAAAGTGGGCAAAGGACATGAATAGACACTTCTCAGAAGACACACGTGGCTCACAAGCATATGAAAAAAAGCTCAATATCACTGATCATTAGAGAAATGCAAATCAAAACCACAATGAGATACCATCTCACACCAGTCAGAATGGTTATTACTAAAAAGTCAAAAAATAACAGATGCTGGTGAAGTTGTAGAGAAAAAGGAATGCTTACCACACTGTTAGTGGGAGTGTAAATTAGTTCAGCCATTGTAGAAAACAGTGTTGTGATTCCTTAAAGAGCTGGAAACAGAACTACCATCCCGCTCAGCAATCCCATTACTGGGTATATACCTGAAGGAATGTAAATCTTTCTATCATAAAGACACCTCCATGTGTATGTTCACTGCAGCACTATTCACAACAGCAAAGACATGGAATCAGCCTAAATGCCCATCAATGATAGACTGGATAAAGAAAATGTGGTACATATATACCATGGAATACTACACAGCCATAAAAAAGAATGAGATCATGTCCTTTGCGGCAACTTGGATAGAACTGCAGGCCATTATCCTTAGCAAACTAATGCAGGAACAGAAAACCAACTGCTGCATGTTCTCACCCATAAGTGGGAGCTAAATGATGAGAACACACGTACACAGAGAGGGCAACAACACACACTAGGGCCAAATGGAGGGTGGAGGGTGGGAGGAGGGAGTGGATCGGGAAAAATAACTAATGGGTACTAGGCTTAACAGCTGTGCAATAAAATAATCTGTACAACAAGCCCCCATAACACAGTTTGCCTATGTAACAAACCTGCGCATGTACCCGTGAACTTAAAAATTAAATTAAAAAAATTACTCATTCTGTGGTATATAGCAAAACAAAATGGACTAAGACACTGGTTATTATTTCTTTATAGCTAGAGTGCCTGGCAAAAGCAGGGGCTCAGGAAATATTTATTTATTGAATGAATGAATATGCCACCAACTTTCAGATAAAAACCGATTATCCTAAATTCTAGCATTTTTATTCTTCTTTCTTATCCAATAATTTTCTTGTTTGTTTCCTCATTTTATCCCTGAATTGACACAGGGGAAGGCAGGGGAGGTAATAATCCCAAGCCTATTTTAGATAGACTTTTAGAGACCCAAGACCGCACATTTTGCAAGTTGTAGAGTGGGTGATAAACTGTGTGGACCTTACAGTCCAAGATCTGCATTTCCAGTCACAATAATATAATGGATGAGGGACCTGACACAACAGAAGGTTCCAGGGCTAGGACGAGACTTGGTAGGCCAAAGGGAGATTCCCACCACTTCTTCCTGTGCAGTGGGAAAGCAATTAAGAAAATGCAGCGCTCTGGTGGCAGCTGGAGAGTTGGCAGGCTTCTCAAGAGAAGGACTGTAAGCAATGTCATAGGCCGGGAAGATGGATGGGGCCCGTTTATGCACCAAGGCTGGCGTACAAATGGAATCTTGCCCAGTCTGACTGGCCTTTCTTCAAAGGTGTCATTGACAGATGAGTATCTAAACGTTTTTGTTTAAAACAGAAAACACAGAAAAAGAAAGAAGAGAATAAAACAAAAAAAAAAAACAAGAAAACAAAACAAAAAAACCTCTTTCTACCCCAGACATACACAGCCAATGAACATGAGATGACCAGGTCAGGCCTGGGAGTGAGGCTGGCCTTTCCAAGGAGTCCTCGATAATTATTTGCACAGTTGTACACCTCTTCTTTCAGAGGAGTTCCACTTTAACACAAGGATTTCATTGAAACCTAACATTCCTGCAAGTCGGCTGTCTCCCATCTGCTGTTGGGACACATTGATGGGAGAAAAGCCTGCTCACATATTCATCTTCATCTGCCAAAACAAGGCTTCTTCCCCAATTAAAATGGCCTTTTTAACTTTAGAGTGGTAAACAGTGTCTACTTAATTTGAGGAAAATACACAGAGGAAAGTTACCAAACCTAACTTTGGTAACTTTATGACATGATGGTTGAGTCAGGGTCAGGAAAACTTGGGGCAGGGGTGCTGAAGAGGCCACTCTGTTTTTGGAGACAGAGAGGTCTTCTTGAGGTCACTGCCTTCGTGGGAATGCATCCACAGCAGGCTTCAACATCATAACCAAGCAATTCTGTTTTATCTTATGTCTATCAAACAAAGTTTGAAAAAGGTTAATAATCACCAATTCTAAAAGGTAAGGACTAAATACAGTTCTTTAAATGACCTTGCTTCTTGGCCTTGCTCTGTAATTGTCTTCTGAAAATGGGGACCATGTGGCATACACAGAGAAGCAGTAAATAGGAGGGTGCCTTCTCCACCCACTCAGGGTGGACCAAACTGTGTCTTGTGACCTGCCTGTGGTCTACGGCCGGCGATGCAACTCGACAATAGACTGGCATAGCATTTGGAAAGTGCACTTTCTTCTCTAGACTGGATACACGGTGTTCAGGCTCAGACCACGTTTCACCCATACTCAGCCAAATAGGCATTTATGAAATGTAAGGCATTTGGAAACATGTTAGCATAGTTTGTAAACTTGGACAGAGGTGGCTGGTACAGGCACAGTGACCTTAGGGCTCATCCTTCATGATGACTAAACTAGAAACCCAAAGAAAGGGCTTTAAAAAGAAATTGCAAACAGACGACTAGATATTCTGGCCAGACCATGTCTTTGACAGCTGCTGCATGTGGCCTCAGCTCCCGGGAGATAACATGCCTTCAGAATTAGCTCGCTGGACCAGCCTGGAGGTAAGCAAGTCTGACCTCCTTTAAGCATAAATAAATCTTGTTGAGTTAAATGATCCTGTCTCCCACTTTCCTCAAGGAACATGAGACATTAAGTGACAAAATCTGAAGACAGCAACTGTGAATCCTCAGAGCCCGTATCTCCTGGCTGATTAAGAATAGGTCTGTTTAGTTCAAGACGAGCCACAGGTCAGATACATAAGGCTGTCATCCTTGCCATACCCAGTAACTCAGGAATAACCAGGGCAACTATCCCCAGATCTTTCAACCCTACTTACACAATTATACATAGGCCAAGTCAGAAATAAAGTGGGGGGGGGGAGTAGTATTTCCTTGCCAAAGAACAACCACTTCAAACGGGTCTCCTCCATCTGCTCCATTTGCACTCCTTCCCACAAATATTCAGTATGTGAAGACACAGAAGTAGATGTTCAAAGTCATCCTAAAGTACAACTTATTGAGGGAGACTGCTGGAAAACAAAAATCGCTCTCTTTAGTAAACCCAGCCAATACCAGGACGGTGCTTGGAGCATATCATCCACCCATCAACCAATGGCTCCAAAGTGATCAGAATAAAGCATGTGCCAGACACACCCTTGGGCTTTGTTTTTGTATCAGCATTTGTCTTCAAAGAGGGCTTTTTGGTAGTTGCCAGCCCTTTAGGCCAAATGCCACCAGTGAAAGCCCCTGGCCAACCACAGACAACTGCTGACACTCCTAAAAAGTGAGAGAAATGGAAAAAGCCAGAAACAGGACTTCTTTGACAATTTGAGACTCTCAGTCATGTAATATTTTGGCTTTCCCCTGGTCTCAAACCCAGCACCTGCAGATACAGCTAACTCTAATTCCCTAGGGGGATTAGGGGGATGAAAATCTCGGTGTCTCTGGAGAAGGGCACATTTCAGTTTGTGTTTGCCTAAAACAAACCTGCAATTTCCTTGTATGCCCACTGTCATCCTAATGACACAGAAGCTGGAGATCTGGAGTTTACTTTGAATGAACATGCTACCTACCATCGAGAAATTCTCCTCGGCACGTACTGACAATTTCTTACTGGCTCAGTTTAAGGATAGAAACCCTGGGAAAGTTTTCTGTTTTCACATCAACCACCACCAGCTGTCAGAGTCTTGGTTTGAAGGAGATGACACCAAGCTGAGAAGGAAGTAATTTAAAATTGTTTTCTCCTTTGAAAACCTTTTTTGGAGGATAAGCGTGCTACGTAGAAGCAGCCCACTGGCCAGATGAATGGACACCATGCTTACTTTGTCTTCATGGATTGAATCCATTATTTACCTGCCACCACAGGAGATTTCCGTTCATCCAGGAGCTGGATGGATGTACTCGCGGTCACCACATTGCTTTTATTGACTGGTCCTGTAAAAAGAAAAAACACCACAACAAAAATGAAGATAATTACAGTGTACACGTTAAGAGAGTAATCATATCGGTCCACAGTCACCAATTCTGCAAATTGTTCCGGGGCTCGGTCCCAGGCCCCAGAGTCTTCTGGGGTGTGGATGTCCTGCCTACGCTGCCAGGCCACGAGTGCAGTGCTGCGAGTCCTCCCAGCTGAAGGAACCAGCGAGCGGAGTTATGACCACCAGTGCACTGGGGAACATCCAGCCTCTTCACATCGAAACCATTGACCACCATCGAGGGACCACATTTTTTGGTAATCTGTGGTTTCAAATTGCAGTGTTTACTTGTGTCAGTGGTCATATTTACACTGCCTGTCTAAATATAGCCATGAAGAGATGTATGAGGGCTTTGAAATTATTTTACGAGTTGGCGACTTTAGCTCTGATTCATTGGTTAAATCTTTACTGATCTATAAAACTGTAATTTCGAATTTTGAGCCCAGTTTTTCTGGGCAAAATTATTCTAAACAGTGATAGAGCTAGGGCATAATCTTCACTCCAAACTATTATTATTCTGGCAACAATATGGCATTAGTATTAAGAGATTTTCAGTTACCAGCAATGGTTCCAATATCCATGAATTAAAAGATACTGAGCACAAATTCTGAATGCCTGGAGTTAATAATTTAGTCCAATGCCCACCTGCTAAAAGGTGCTCAATGAATGTGAGTTGGATGAAATCCAATTGAATTGAGAAGCAGGGAAAAGTCAAACCTGAATTTGAATGCACTTATGACCAAAGCAATGAGAAATTTTCTCCTGGCCCAAGTTTAAGCAGCAATAAAAACCAGTTTCTTTTCTAGTTTGCACAGGTATTCAATACATAGTAGACAAAATTGGAGAGAGCTCAACCACAGAGACTTGTAGTTGGTGATTTTTAAGATTTTCCCTGACTCTAAGGGGATTATGAAATGTCCTAAGATGTTACGTCATCTGTAACTTTGTCATGAACAAGGTAAAACTCACTTCATTATACCATTACATTGAAAGTTTGGTGAAAATCCCAGTTACCCAAAACCAATCCAACAACAGCTTTAGTTAACTCGATGATTCCAGAATCAGAAGAACAGCAAGCTAAGTTCTATTTTTTTCTTTAGAAGACTGTAAAAAGGAAGTCTTAAGAGATTGCTTGATAGAAGACAATGTTATTATTCATAGGTCTGCAGCAGAATTAAAAAGTTCACTGTCTCTTGATATTTTCAGCAATAAAGTATGGTGCAGACAAGCATAAAGAAAGAGCTTCAGGCCAGGTATGGTCCTAGCACTTTGGGAATCCCAGGAGGGTGGCTCACTTTAGGTCAGCAGTTAGAGACCAGTGTGGCCAACATGGTGAAAAACCATCTCTACTAAAAATACAAAAATTAGTTGTATATGGTAACGGGTGCCTGTAATTCCAGCTACTCAGGAGCCTGAAGCAGGAGAATTGCTTGAACCCAGAAGGCAGAGGTTGCAGTGAGCCAAGAGCATGCCACTGCACGCCAACCTGGGTGACAGAGCAAGACTCTGTCTCAAAAAAAGACAGAAAGACAGAGAGACAGACAGAAAGAAAGAAAGAGAGAGTGAGAAAAAAAAAAGAAAGAAACAAAGAAAGAAAGAAAAAGAAAGAGCTTCAGACACCTGGAAATTTATATTTCAGAAAGCACACATAACTACAGGCAGGCATACATACAGGTCTGTTAGCAAAGGAACACAGACTGAAAGAATCTTAGACCTGAAGAGAATCTAAGAGATAAATGTAGTCTGAAATCCCAACCAGCAAAGAACCTAATCAATAATATTCAGTCTCTCCTTAAATATGCCCATTGATGAGGGACTGTCTTCCTAATGAGTCCACTCAACCAATTATATGAGCACTCTTTGTTTTCTAAAAATTTCAAAAGCACCCTTTCTGAAAACATTTTCAGTCATGGAAATGAGAAAGCACCAAGCCTTAGGGAGGGGGATTGGGCACAAACACTGGAGAACTTCCCTTAGGATTGAGTTAGGAGTATTTGTAAAAGATTAATATGAAAGGAACTGATATATGTAAAATATAACTACAGACTGAACTTTCCAGAGCAACCCAAGTTTACAGAACTAGGTTTCATTCATCTCTCAAGTTTCTGCAATAAGCAGTATAGAGTGAGCACCCAAAATACCAGATGCATGAGGCAAGGAAAAAAAAAATGAGGAAAACTTAAACATTTCCAGTATGCTTTGCTTCTAAAACTGGTTGAAATAAGATAGCATTCAGTTCTTTTTGGAGGCAGGTAACTTTAATTTTTTATACTATTATATCATAAACTCTTAGGACTGAAAAACCAATCAGCTACATGCCTCTCACTGGTGACTGCAGGCTCCTGTCAAGAGAGCACATGGTTATACAAAGTCAGTCCTTAGTCCGGCATATCAATTTAAATCAATTCAGTTCAAATGGGGAACAGTGAAGACATTCATACAGCCAACAGATACATGAAAAAATGCTCATCATCACTGACCATCAGAGAAATGCAAATCAAAACCACAATGAGATACCATCTCACACCAGTTAGAATGGCGATCATTAAAAAGTCAGGAAACAACAGGTGCTGGAGAGGATGTGGAGAAATAGGAACACTTTTACACTGTTGGTGGGATTGTAAACTAGTTCAACCATTATGGAAAACAGTATGGCGATTCCTCAAGGATCTAGAACTAGATGTACCATATGACCCAGCCATCCCATTACTGGGTATATACCCAAAGGATTACAAATCATGCTGCTATAAAGACACATGCACACGTATGTTTATTGCGGCACTATTCACAATAGCAAAGACTTGGAATCAACCCAAATGTCCATCAGTGACAGATTGGATTAAGAAAATGTGGCACATATACACCATGGAACACTATGCAGCCATAAAAAAGGATGAGTTTGTGTCCTTTGTAGGGACATGGATGCAGCTAGAAACCATCATTCTTAGCAAACTATCACAAGAACAGAAAACCAAACACCGCATGTTCTCACTCATAGGTGGGAACTGAACAATGAGATCACTTGGACTCAGGAAGGGGAACATCACACACCGGGGCCTATCATGGGGAGGGGGGAGGGGGGAGGGATTGCATTGGGAGTTATACCTGATGTAAATGACGAGTTGATGGGTGCTGACGAGTTGTTGGGTGCAGCACACCAACATGGCACAAGTATACATATGTAACAAACCTGCACGTTATGCACATGTACCCTAGAACTTAAAGTATAATAATAAAAAATAAAAACAAAAACAAAAACAAAAACAACAAAAAAAAACCAAATGGGGAACAGTGGACCTCTACAGGGATGTGACTCACTGAAGGTTCTGGCAAGGGATGCTCGAATTTTCTCTAAGTGGGGCCATGACAACATTTAAAAAAATTGACTGACAAGTTTGTATTAAAATCCCATAGGGTGCAAAACATCAGCCCTCCTTTCTGAAATACATTTACGTAATTTGGTAAAGGAAAAACCTTCGTTTTCTTTGAGGCTATTAGGCTTACGGAACAGGTCACTGGTTGAGGGCTGACCCAATATTCAGCACTGGCTCTGAGGGTTGAACTTGGTTCCTTTCAGCATTCAGGCAGCTCCTCAACACCCTACACACAATGCCCAGACCCACTGGACTAGACAGACAGAGCCCGCCTCCAACAAGGGCACCCACCAGTGCTGAACGGGATCGAGTAGACGAAGCTCCCTGGAATCTGCTCAGCGGCTCTTCGGTACCAGAGAGGGAAATGGTCTGCGTTAAAAATGTTCTCCTTGTCGCCTGCTTTCAGGAAGTCCCTTGAAGTGGAAAAGAATCAGAAGAACGTGCATCACTCAGCAGAGTAAAGGTGGGCCTGGAGCACCCCGACAGCCTTCATCACGTAAAACCAGTGTTCACTTTTAGAACCCCAACTTGCCTTTCTCAGTATACAGGGGGCCTGACTTAACACTGGGCACCCACATTACTCAAAAATATCTTGCAGAGCTCTGGGAGTCAGATTCTGAGTGGGTAAAGCTTTGTCTGGCTTTAAAACCGAAACATATATACTAATACCCTTGGGAGAATCAACTTCTTTTTTTTTTTTTGAGACGGAGTCTTACTCTGTCGCCCAGGTTGGAGTACAGTGGCGTGATCTCGGCTCACTGCAAGCTCCGCCTTCCGGGTTCACGCCATTCTCCTGCCTCAGCCTCCCGAGTAGCTGGGACTACAGGAGACCACCACCTCGCCTGGCTAACTTTTTTATATTTTTTAGTAGAGACGGGGTTTCACCGTGTTAGCCAGGATGGTCTCCATCTCCTGACCTCGTGATCCGCCCACCTCTGCCTCCCAAAGTGCTGGGATTACAGGCTTGAGCCACCGCGCCCAGCCGAGAATCAACTTCTTAAGTAGATCTCATTCTTCTTAGAGCAAGTGTAAAGAAGGTAAACCATGCTTCTCAGAAAAAGTGCAAAGGAAGTAAATGTGAGCCCAGACTGAGATCTTTACACCCTTCTTCCCTCACCTGCCTCCTCTCTGGACAAACAGGCCTGCTCATGCCCCCTGTGTGCATCCCTGCCCTCTACTGACTCCCTGCCTTCTGCACAGAGAGCTTGTCTATCGGAAAGGCTAGGTGCATTCTTCTTTCCATCTTTTCCTCTCAAAATCACACTCATTTTCAAAGTGCGCCTCATCTACCATCTACCCCATGAATCCACAGAGACACATGCAAGCTGTTGCCACACCCTGGGCCCCCACACTCTTAGTAACTTTCATATAGCCTTTTATTTATTTTTTGGCCTGCACAATCATCACATCCCCTCCCTAGACCTCCTAAGATTTCTGAGGACAGGAGATTTGTTCACATGTGTGCACTCTTCACAGAGTCTTAAGCATACTCAAGTCCCAAGGCATGATTATTGACCTGACATCCCTCTAGAGATTCACATGTGCTCTCCAGGACCTGAAGTGCCTTATCTTAGCTGATACAGTGCAACCCAGGCGGTGGGGGAATGACTGCCTGGTTAGGCCACAGTCTGCTGCAGCCATTTTTCCGGAAGGGAGACCAATCAGGGGATAATGTTTAGGTAGGGAACAGGCCGTCAGTTGAAGCAGAAATGGCACCACTTTCAACCCAGCAGTTTGCAGCGTAGATTTGGATTGCAAAGACCATGGAGGGAAATTTTCATGCTAAGCTGTAACTGGTTGGTTTCCTGAACTTGGCACCCAGTTCAGGAAAGCATTCTGTAGTTGCAGGGTGTGTCTAACCAGTGTTCCCTTCACCTCTACCAAAGACGGAGTGCCTACTTTTAGAGAAGAGGCCCATGCCATTGGAGGTCACCCTCCAGGTTCTTAGATAGCTCTGGAATCTACCTCCCTATAACTTGTATTAGCATGTCCTTACTCCTTTCTAAGGTCTGGGACCTTCCTTTTCCCAATATTATCAGGGCCTGGCTCTCAGCACGCGCTTGGTATATGCTTAATGATCACAAGATAAATTTAATCTCATATCCAGATAAGAGCTCCTCCAGTATTAAACACAATTTCCTATGTCTTCAAAAATAAAATTTCTCAATTCTTTTAAATTCCTTTGTCTGTATGGCCATCTTTATGAGTGCTCTGCTTTGTTAATACTGCTATAAAATTTTGTGCTCCTAGAACTGGTAATTGTAGGTCAAAAATGGTCTGACATAGCATAGCTGCTTGCATTTGGTCTTGACTCTTATTGACAAAATGACTCTTCAGAAATTAAAAATGTTTAAAAGAAAATTTTTTAAAAAGCACTCTTCTCTCATTCAGAAGGCCAAGGCCAACTTTGGAGTCATATGCAAGATTAAGAAAGTGCGGAGATCCCCTGTGCTATCTAGAATGCTGGACGTCAGGACTTGCAGGCTCATCTTGGTAGACAAGCTCTTCCTTAGGCTGCTGTATTCAGTGATAATGTTTCCTGATCTAAAAGTCATCAGACGTCAGGAATACTGAAATTTTAGCCTTTTCATTTCTTTCGCTAGACATGAAATTCTTCATAAACTTGACTTGGACGGTGTGAGGAACAGCCTCTGTTACCTGGCCCATGGCAGAATACATTGCTGCTTTCCACACACAGGTGCAGCCACGGCTGATCAGAAGGTGTTCGCACTCCCAGCAGGTCTGTTCAGTGGTCGTTACAGCTAAGAGGTGCCCTGTCTATGCAGCACAGGTTAATGGTGCCACAGGGGGCCTTTTTCAAGAGTCATAGTAGATGAGATGGTAGCTCGGTTAGAAGGTGTGAAGTGGTCCTCAGATGGTGACATTCAGGCTTTGTGGGTGGCTGGCAATAGATCTGGAATGCTGAATATCTGGGTGGCCAGTGCCCTGCTGCCCGGGATAGTGCTGGCACCCAGGCCAGCCAGCAGGAGCCTGCAGTACTTGATCCCCATTAGCCCTGGTGTCAATGTGAAAGGACTGAGTTGCCGGGAAACCCTGGAGGCCTCTGCCAACTACTGGGCAGCGATTCTGGACGAAACGGGAAGGAGCGACCTGATTTTACAGAATCCCAAAAATGTTCTTCAGGAAGAAAGATCCTTCTGGGTAAGGTGAAAGTCTCCTCCTGGATACTGGGAGCTACTGCAGTGGTGTGTCAGGCTGGTCTAGGTTCTGAGAAGAACTGGGTGACTTTGAGTGAATAATTGAGTCTCTGACCCCCATTTACTCATCTACAAAATGGGAACAATAAAAATGCTGCACTTTACCAGGGTTCTATCAGAATTACGTAACGCCATATGTGAAAGAGTGTTATGGACACTGAAAACAGGCTCTAACAAATAAATGGGGTTCTTAAAGCCAGAGCTTCTTTTGTTCTCAGTGGTTTAAAGGGCAGGGGTAAAGTGGTCACTCTCTAAACTCAGGGTTGTATGCTATGAAGGCAAACATCACTGGATGCTATATGCATGGTGATGTGAGAGGTTGTACTGAAGGCACAGAATGTATTATAACTCTTGGGGGTGACAGCCACGTTTCAGTATGATTGACCAACTTCCAAATGCAGGTGGCAGGGGTATGGGATGAAATCTCAGTGTAGGAGACTGATGATAGTACGAGATAATTGCAGGGTAGCAACTTTGTATTATCAAGTTCTCTGCCCAATACTTTAAGCTCTGCCTTTCATGCCCTAGTCAAAAGCAAAAACTAAACCAAATGTCAGAAATGCTAAAAACTTTCTCAGCCTGACTTAGAGAGTGTATCCAAATAGCTGAATCTTGACAAATACCATTTGATGGGAAGGGATAGGCAGGTAAGATCTTAAGACAATAGATTCAAGATGCCTCTATATGAAGCAAGGACAGGAGTTTCTTGAAGACAGATTTCATCCATCCAAACTGTCAATGAGTACCCACTCTGTGGGTCACATAATGCCACAGAGAATAGAACACATAGTTGTAGGAATTTTTAGCTTCCCAAAGAAATTTTTCATCCATTAAAAAAAAAAAATTATTTTTGAGACAGAGTCTCACTCTGTTGCCCAGGCTGGAGTACAGTGGTGCAATCTCAGCTCACTACAACCTCCACCTCCTGGGTTCAAGTGATTCTCCTACTTCAGCCTCCCGAGTAGCTGGGATTACAGGTGTGCACCACCATGACCGGCTAATTTTTGTATTTTTAGTAAAGACAGGGTTTTACCATGTTGGCCAGGCTGGTCTTGAACTCCTGACCTCAAGTGATCTGCCTGTCTCGGCCTCCCAAAGTTCTGGGATTACAGGCATGAGCCACTGTGCCCAGCCCATCCATAATTTTTTTGGATCTTCACAGTAACCAAAAGAGATCATTGCTCTCACTTTTCAGGTGGACAGAATGAAGACACCCAAGTGAGATAAGCCAGGTATACCTCCCAGCATCCTTACTGTGGTCCTTTGTCTTTTAAATCTGTCACAATAACACAGTTATCAGACCAGCAAGGTGTCATGTTTTATTGTTACTGTTTTGCAGCTTTGCTTGTTTCAGTCTCAATACCAGCAGCAGACTTTCTCATTGAGTATTAGAAAAAGAATTCCCTTGTCTCCTCTTGCCTATCTGGATCCTAACAGGAGAAGGTAACGTGTATCTCAGCACCTCTAGCCCTTCCCAGGAACTTGCCCTCTGGAAAAGCAATTGGAGCGGGGGTGGTAAAATGCTTAAAAAAGGCTTTAAAAATCAAGTTGCAACTATAATCAAACTTCATAGATGACAAATGTGAGTATCAAGAAGGTCAAAGTCCTGGAACAGAATTCAAAGCCAGTCTCTCAAAATATCTAAACATCGATTGATCCGTCATTTACCAGACTTGGTTTTGTAAGGTTATATGGTGGGTGTCAGGGCCTCATTTAGCAGATGCAAACAGCACTGTCAAGTTCCAAGGAATCACCGCCTCCTTGGACCCCTGATGAGCCAACCCCTCTCAAATTGGCAGCTACCCTCTGGCTTGGTTATTCACCTCCAGGTACCCTGAAGGTTGGGGGTATAATGTTCTGTGGTAACCTCTGCACTCACACATACACTTGCAAGCCACTCTCAAACTTTCTGAATCTTGGGACCCATTTGTCCATGTCTTAACAATCTCTCTTGCTTCAGAGAAAATAAATTGAAAAAATTTATTAACAGACTCAGGAAAGAGTTCACCGTCTACCTACTAGCACTGGTGAAATACCAGTTTGATGCGTTAAGGGCCTGTGGCTCTCTGAAGATACACGGGCTGAGCATCTGGGTACTAGACCCGGAAACTCTCTGCCCACCATCCATCCAGGTCTCTTTGGAAGTCCAAGGAGACACTGTTAAACCCCAGTGTCCCCAGAGGGCCCACTCCTGGGTGTGGAGCTCTGCAGCCCCTCAGGCTAAGCACAGAGGCACAGAGGTTTATTAGTAAAATATAAACAAACAAACAGGACTTGGAACACTGATTTTTGTACAGGCAGGAGGAATTCCTCAGCATAGCTGCAGAACAGCTGAATACCCTGAAGCCATTTGTTACAAGATGAGTGTTTCCTCCCTCTGGCGGCTCCCCTAGCAGCCATACCACCTCCCAGAGTTCTGAAATGACTCATCAGGGCGGGAGAGGACTCCAGGACAGTGGACAGAAGCCAACAACAAGCGTGAGGAACAAAGGGTGGTGGAAGGGCTAACAGGCAGGTGAAAGCACATGCTGGGGCCCCCATGGTAGAACAGAGAAGAAAAATCTCAATAGGCCTGGAGTGGCCTAAATTATGTTTCTACCAGTAGTGGAATCCAGAAATGAAATAAGCTTCCCTTTGAATGTTCCATTTCAGGAGCTCCCTGGGCCCCTGTAGAGGATCCCTCCTACTTACTGATTGGTGAGTTGCTCAGCTCCGACAAACAGGTTGATTCTGGAGAGGCCCGTGCGAGTGCCGAGGAAGGCAACCTCCACGCCCTTGTCAGAATTCCTGAAACAGAACAGCGGACATCAGAGGAAGGCCTCTAGGCAGTAAGCAGATAATGCATTGCATTTTAAGACTCACAGAATGTTTTACCAAATAGTAGTTTTGAAACTTGAACCTTAAAAGAAGTTATAGAAACACACACACACACACACGCACACACACACACACACACAAAAGCACAGATTGCCAACTTGTATCCCTAACAAAAGTTTTCACAGTAATATTGGCAAGAAAAATGAAGAACTTCCTGCCAACAAAAGCAGCATGTGGAAAAACTCTACTTCCAACCATACACACATCTTTATTTCAAGGTTCTGGGTGCAAGTTCAAAGAGATCAGGCTAAGAATGGGAAGGATTAGGGCTTAGGACTAGCTTTTTGCATTAATGCTACCAAGTTTATTCTTGGTCTTGAGATCATTTGTGGAATCTGCCATTAAAGCAACTGAGCCACGGAACCAAGTTTGCAGCATCCCACAGCCTGGAATTCCACGTGGTTGGAATTGGTTTTGACATCCACACAGTTGTGGGGGCACCTGCTTATCACTTCTACCAGATCACAGGCCTTGTTCTCACCACCAACCCCAAAGAGATATGTAAATAAATGCTTCTTCCGAAAGCTCTGTAGGAGGCTACACATAGGAACTCTAAGAAGGGCCTTGGCAATGAAAACTAATATAAAAATTCACTAAATATCATTTTGTTTCAACTTCCAAGGCAAATTTTATATGCTTGAGTGTGTTCTTTAGGAGATTTGCAAGGCATATTTCTCCTGTGCAAAAAGCAAATGGCCTTTCTCCACAAACACATAATTTTCTTTTTTTTTTTTTTTCTTGAGACAAAGTCTGGCTCTGTCGCCCAGGCTGGAGTACAATGGCACGATCTCAGCTCACTGCAACCTCTGCCTCCTGGGTTCATGCCATTCTCCTGCCTCAGCCCCCCGAGTAGCTGGGACTACAGGCGCCTGTCACCACACCAGGTGAATTTTTTGTATTTTTACTACAGACGGGGTTTCACCGTGTTAGCCAGGATGGTCTCGATCTCCTGACCTCATGATCTGCCCACCTTGGCCTCCCAAAGTACTGGGATTATAGGCGTGAGCCACTGCGCCCGGCCCACAAACACATAATTTTATCCTAAAATAAATGTATGAAGAGAACACCAATTCTTGAGCCTGTTTCTCTGTCCTAAATGCTACTAGTAATTTGATCCAAAGCATTCTCCACATTATCTTCAAAGTAAGGTCATTCGGTTACTTGATCTTTGATGAAAGTCAAAGTGGTGGATGCTACCTTTAAGTATTTAAGGGCTGAATAAAAACCAACACTATGCATTTCTGCTTGTAGCCTACACCAAATTAGAAAGCCAGGCTGTCCAATCAGTTACAGATGTGGACTACAAAGCAAGTTACCATTTTGGAAATCTTTAGTATGTGTTAGGAATGAATCAGCAACCTTTGCTCAAGATTTTGAGTTTCATGAGAGCTGAAAAGAAACACTTCAAGGTTCACTAGAGAAAGAAATCCCAGGACGGGCTCAATTATTTGCCAGCTTCCCAGGAAATAAGATCTATGCCATGAAGGCAAGCAGTCCAAAGACACCCCTAATAATGAAAATGGCAGTCTCTCTGGGGCTCCAGTTTTGCATATTAAACAGCCTACCTGACATCTCCGTTTGGGAGACTTTCAGCCATTTTAAGCTCATGATGTCTAGAAGAGAGACTGGCCATGCCCAGCCCTAAACGTGATCCTCCCACAGTGTCTCTTGTGTTAGCAAATAGCACCATCTGTCCAATAGCTCATGATATAAACCTGGGAATGATCTTTGATGGCTCAACCTCCCTGCCCTCACATGACAAACCCATCATCAAGTCCTAGGGACCTTGCGTCTGAAGCAAGTCACAAGTGGACCTCTGTGCCCACTGCCCTGGTCCAAGTCACAAATCCCTGGGAAAACTGTAGGAACCTTTACTATTGTTCTCACCCCATTACCCTCTGTTCTCCACACAGCAATAGAGAGATCTTTTTGTAAAATGCAAATCTGATCATTTCCTTCCCCTTCTTAAAATCCTTCAGTGATCTTCCAATGCTCTGAGTATAAAATCCAAAATCCTTAACCTGACTCTCAAGGTCCTGAGCCATGCGGCCCCTCTGCAGCCTCATCCTCTGACATCTTCCAGTCTATCCTCTGTATGTCAGCTGTGTCCACCTTCTTTAAATTCTGCCAATGTGTCAAATACTTTCTCATCTCAGGACCTTTGTATGTGCTGTTCCTAGAATGCTGCCTGAACCTTGAACTAGTTCCCATCTTCCTCCTCCACTTTAGATCTGTTACACTTTACGTGTCTTTACTTTTCCTTCAAAGCAGTTATGATTCTTAATAATACAGCACACTATATACCACAGGTGCCATGATGTTAAGAGCTCTATCTGTGTGGTTTCTCTCCATTTCTCCAACACCTCGGTCAGAGTCTGGCACATAACAGACACACAGTCAAAACTTGATGAGTGAATGAATGAAAATGAAAACAGAATGAATGTCAGGATGGAAGGGAAGATACAATGAGGGAATGAAATACTGAATCGAAAAATGGAGAGAAACAGGATGGAAGGGAAGATAAAAGGAGGGAACGAACAAAGGAAGAACAGGAAAGTGGAGAGAGAAATGAATCATGTAACACATGAAGATATAAGAGAAAAGGAATGGTTCTTCCTTTTCTTTTTAATCTTTAATACTCTACTTAAATTAAGAATAGAAAAGAGATAATAATAAGCTGCTAAAGCAGTTCTCATCCTAGTCTTTGATATCAACTACCACAGCCTTGCCCGCAGCCCCTCCACCCTCCACTTCAGAAATAAAACCACAGGGTTATATCTGACACCCTATGAAATCAAGCTCTCACTTCTCCGTCCCACTCACAACCTAACCTGGCCCAGATCCCAAGCTCCCTCAAGACTGCAAAGTAGAGAGAGCTGTGGCAAGGCAGGAAACGAAGTTCCCTTCTGCCTCCCTCTCTCTCGGAAGTGTCACCCTACCTCAGCGTACCAAATTTCATGTAACGTTAAAACTCAAACAAATTATATGTCAAAGCCAGGAGCTTGCCATCCAAGCCCGAGTCGCTAATCTGCTCTAGCTCTTGTGGTTTGGAGCTTGGGGGAAAATTAAAGAACTTTAACACCAGGCTCCTAAAACAGTTTAGTTCTTTAAACCATAACCATATTTCGGAGTGTTGGTGAGGAAATGGCCATGAAAGGAGGACACGTGCAACCACTTACTCAGATTTGTTGAGGGCCAGGCTGGTCCAATATGCTTCAATGGGGGCACTCACCACGGCATCAAAAAGGACTTCTTGGATCAATTCTTTATCACCTGTTGGGAGGGACAGACAAGAGGATGCTTTGGCAGGGCTGGAAGAGGGGCACGAGAGGCACTCATGGGCTCACTGTGCAGTGTCTGCAGGCTACTTTCTCATGAGGCGTGTTGCTTTATGAGTTAAGTTCCCACCAGTTGAAAATACGAAACAGTTCTGACACCTGGTATGCCTGCAACACAGGAGCCTCCAAAGCATTTGGGCAAGAAGGTAGTCAACTGAGAGGCTTGGGTGTCTCACACTTCCGTTTCCTGCTTTCTCACCCCATTGTGTGCTTCCTGCCACGGACCAGCAGGCTGAGTCCCAGATTTGGAGGCCACAGGCCAGTATTCCTTGAACACTTGGCTGTCATCATCCCCATCTCTGTCCTCTCCTAAAACTGAAATTATTGAGCACCCTGAAATTCTCAGCCTGTTGTCACATGGGAAAGAGATACCATAGCTTAATAACCACTGGGATTCTTATTTTGTGATTCCTTCTATTTAAGAAATGTTTCATTTTATTTTTATTTATTTGCTTATTTTTTTGAGACAGGGTCTCACTCTGTCACCCAGACTGGAGTGCAGTAGTACGATGTCGGCTCACCACAACCTCTGCCTCCCAGGCTCAAGCCAGTCTCCTACCTCAGCCTCCCAAGTAGCTGGGATTACAGGCACAGGCCACTACCACCTGGCTAATTTTTGTATTTGTAGTAGAGATGGGGTTTTACCATGTTGGCCAGATTAGTCTCAAACTCCTGACCTCAAATGATCTGCCTGAATCGGCCTCCCAAAGTGGGATTATAGGCATGAGCCAACGCGCCCGGCCAAGAATCGTTTCATTTTAAAGGAGAATGTCTGTTCCCATCCAAAGGGACTCTTGGTAGAGCTCCGTGGAAGAGGCCAAGGAATGGGAGCATATGATAAGTCTAGGAGAGGCATCCTAGAACTCTCAAATCACTCTGCAGAGGAGGACAACTAATTATCACATGAGACAGGCCAGTCCTCACCTTGACTAGGAGCAAAAAAAAAAAAAGAGCTTTGCTGAAAAGCAAAAGCTAGAAATAACTTATCATCAGTAAGACAATGAATATATTAAGTTATGTGGTGGAATTCCATATAGTAATGCAAATAAATGCATTAAAGCTAAATGATCAACACAAATTTCAAAAATATAATGGGTGAAAATATAAGTTGTAGTACATATATATTTATGCACATATTGTATATATTATATATAGTAATTCATATAATATACCATACATATAAAGTTTAATATATATTTTAAAATAATAAAATTGATGCTACATATTTGTTTATAGATACCTACATATGTAGGAATAGCATTAAATTATTGAGACTAATGAACAAATACAGAAGGTCATTCTCTTTGGGAGGGAAATGAGGCTGAGCAAGGACCCAGGGACTTCAACCTTATCTGTAATGTCTCATTCCTTAAAAAGCACCTGGAGTAAGTATGGTAAAATATTAAGACTGTGTAAAGTTGGATGGTGACTACAAATGTATTATTTATATAGTCTCTATACTTTTGTTTTTTAAATATGTCCTTAAAAAGTCAAAGACAATGACATATTGGGCTTGTAGGATATCCATCTGATCCTTTCTCCACCAGCGCATATCCCGAAAAGTAAATCCATTCTATGGAGATGTCGTTTAGTAGTTGGATAATCTCCTTAAACCTCTCATAGGATTACGTATGTAAAGCACTTTTCATGTCATTGAATACATAATGCTTGTTTAGAGGTGGGGGCAGATATCATGATCAGTTTTGGCGGCTCTCCCCCTGCCCAAACTGTAGCTACTAGAGTTATCCTGTGAGAGTATAGGGTCTGCTCCTGCTTTTGAGGGGCATCCCGGGCTGCTGCTGCTCTTCCTGTCTCTTTTGCACCAGCTGAGAGATTTCTTACTCACTGAGCTCCCCTAGAACGGAATGCTTGGTAGGTAGGACACTCAGCATGTACCACACTGAGAGGCTATGTGACCCTGTCGTGACCCCATTCTTGGGAGAACCAGGAGACCTAGACACAGCCTTGAATGAAACACAACCTACTTCCAGCCTTGGTTTCTCATTTGCAAAATAAGGGAGATGAGCAAATATTTACAGTCCCTTCCAGTTCTAACATTTCCATCCTATTCAGTTGCTTGACTAAATGGTTCAGAAGGGGACAAAGCCCAGTGCAAATAGTTAAACCAGGATTGGGGATTCTGTACAATTTTCCAAAATCCACATTCTTTCTCCTGTTCCTACAGGAAGCAGATATTTGATTGGATTTCATGTGACTGATAATCTCTGCCAAAGCAAAGCTTCCCTTAAAAACTGAGGCCAAAAAATAGTTTTGAGTTCATTCCCCACCATTACCCCTGAAAACACGACACACTTTTGAAGGCATACTCACACTGGAGCAGAGGTTCTTTGCCTTTGAGGTAGAGCTTAATCGCTTCCAACTGAGACAGATGGCGGTGCTCAGGGTGTAGGTCAGTGTTGCAGTAGGACCTAAGAACATGACATGGCCCAAAAGAAGAGCATGTCAATATTTACAACATCTGCTTCCTTTGCCTTGGAACCAGGAAAACTGGGCAAGGGAGCACAAACCATGCAGAATCAAAGAGGGCAACGAAGGATGCCATAGTCAAGGAGGGATGGTTTAATTCTTACCATTCATCTGCCAAGGACACATCGGGATGTTCTAAGTCATGCAGGCCTAGGGGTCAAGGAGAAGGGGTCATGAGTAAGCACCACTTCCCCGATCCTCCTGTGTGCTTCAGATATTCTAGGGTAGGGCTGTGGGGTGGGTTAAGGGTAGATATCAACCCTAAGGGACCTGCCTTGGAGCAGGGACTCTGAGCAAAATAAACGAGTTCCCTTCCAGGCAGGACTCTCTCCCTATCTCCACCTCACTCAGCCAGCACAGCTACCTTCCCTGGCTGTTCATCCCAGGAAAACCTTAACCCCTTGAAGACAGAGGATACACAAATGAGTCTGGAGGGAGACGCTTAACAGGACTGTTAGAAACACTCACTCTGGTGCTCCATTTAGTCTGAGTTGGGAACTGGGCTAGGCCACTGACCTCCTGTGTGATGTCAACAAGTTACTTTACTTCTCTGAATGTCAGTTTCTTCATGTGAAAAGCAGGAATAATAGTCCCTAATTGATGTGTGGTTGTGAGGGTGAAACTATAGGTTGAACAATATGAAGTCGTCAATACTCAACTGTTTTTGAGCGGCAAAGATTGCTAGTTGTTACAGGATCCTAAGTGAAAATGGTCATCCTTTGGGAAGAAAACTAGGGGAGCTGGTGCTTGCAGGGAATCTGGGAGTTTTTAGAGAAGGTTCCAGACCATCCTATCTCTGCAAGGATTACTGTTTCTTTGCACTTTTAAGTGGCTTGATCTTAATGGGTTATCAGCAGACATACACTTCTGAATGATGACCTCAGGAACTCCCATGATGCTTACAGCCTGTTTTGGGAAGTTAGTTTCTTAAATGACAGATAGCATCTTACTACACTCAGGACTCCAGTTTCCTTCTCAAATACAAATCTGTAAAAGAAGTAGCAAAATACTAGACCTATCACACAATTCTGCTTGATTTTACAGAAAATAGAGAATACATTAGAATGAACACCATTGCATATAATCCAAGTGGGCATATCCAGGCTCCAACACCTATAGGCTGAATGACCTTGCGGATGCCATGTCAGCTCTTTGAGTTATATCTACCATGAGATACAAGTAATACTGCATCACTCACAAGTGCCAGAAAACAGTTAAATGGGATAGGGATTAGTCCCTAGTGCAATCCATCCATCTGTGCAGCCTTTCTTCTTTTTTTCCTTTCCCAACCAAACAACTTCCCTTCCTTTTCCTTCCTTCCTTTTGCCCTCCTCCCATTCCTTTCTTTTTTCTATAATTTTACTGAGCATCTGCTATACGCCAGGTATGATTCTAGGCCCTGAGAATATAGCAGTGAATAAAACAAGACAAAAATCACTGCCTTCATTGTTTTTAATTTCTACTGGCAGAAAAGAGATAGTAAATTATATTAAAATTTAACTTGAGTGCATATCAGATGGTGGCAAGGGCTAAAAAGGAAAAGGGAACATGGAACAAGAACAGGGAGGACCAAGAGATAAGGTGGGGGGTGGCGGGGAGAGAGAGACAGAGAGAGAGAGAGAGAGAGAGAGAGAGAGAGAGAGAGAGAAAGAGACCATTGTAACTATGGAGGTCAGGAAAGGCTTCACTGAGAAAGTGACCTGAATGAGGCAAGGAAGAGTCATGTAGGTGACAGGGAGGGTGCTCATGGCAGAAGGAATAACAAGTGCAAAGTCCCTGAGAAGGGACTGTACCTTCCCAGAAAACTGGGTTAAGGGTGTCAAGTCTGTTTTTCTAGCTGCAGTTTCCATCCTCCCAACATCATTCACAAAATCCTCTCTGGCTGTATTTCACAGGACCTATAAATGAAACTCAGAAGAGATGAGATCTATCAGGAAGATCTTTTTGACTGCTTCTTCTCTGGGTTCCTAGGGCACCAAGGAAATTTAATTGTTCTCTTATTCTTTCACCTCTGATGTTGGTCCTTCTGATAAAAATCACATCTACTGATGATTTGAACTGCTGACAATAATGACCTAAGCTCTAATTTGTTGAACAATTACCATGTGCAATACATATAAAAGATACAAAGTGGCCAGGCACAGTGGCTTACGTCTGTAACCCCAGCACTTTGGGAGGCCGAGGAGGGCGAATCACGAGGTCAGGAGTTCGAGACCAGCCTAACCAACATGGTGAAATCCTGTCTCTACTAAAAATACAAAAATTAGCCAGGAGTGGTGGCACGCGCCTGTAATCCCAGCTACTCAGGGGCCTGAGGCAGGAGAATCACTTGAACCCGGGAGGTGGCGGAGGTTGCAGTGAGCCAAGATCACACCATTGCACTCCAGTCTGAGCGAGAGAGCAAGACTCCATCTCAACAACAACAACAACAACAACAAAAGATACGAAGTGTTGAAAAAGATTAAAAGATTCATAAAAGAAACAATTTCAGCAGGTAGAACTATAGCCCATACCTTCAATCTCGGTAATGACTTTTTATATTTTTGACCAAAATCTACCTATTTGCCATCTTTGTAATCTCTGGCATTGGCAAAGCATGTGGAAAATTCCTACATTCTGTAGGGAGTTATTCCTTATTGAAGATCCTATAGAAGTGTGGTTGCCAACCCCAAGGAACTCCTTCCCTCTCCAAGAACAGAACAATAATCACACCATGGCTCCTGGAGATGATGAGACCCTCTACTAGTTGGCCCAAGGGGAAGCAACTTTCTTAAGTTCTATTACTCAGCAAAGCTGGCAGGATTGTCAGTCTTTTTATTTACAGAGGACCAACAGAGAGAGGAAGATATGACCTCATTTGTGTGGATAAGCAGCTACTCTCCCCCTTGCTGAGGATTTGAGCTAATTTCTTGCATAGTGGTTACAGTTAGCGCTGAAATTCTATGTGACCGTTTAGCCTCACAGCTGTGGAACATACAGGAAGAAGATAGTGACTGAAAAAGAATCCAAAAGACAATGCAAAACAACTGTGTGTATCTGTGTCTCCATGCATGCGTGTGTGTGTGTGTGTGTGTGTGTGTGTGTGTGTATGTGTATGTGTGTGTAAGAGAGAGAGACAGAGAGAGAGGAAGGGAGGGACAGGCCCATGTATTGAAGATTGACCAAGGGAACAGACCCATGAGAGGCAATTAATCCCTTAATAACCTCTCCTTCTATTGTTCTGATCATGAGTTGTTTCTTCAGTTTGACCTCACATGGCTTAGACATGAATTTTTTGGCTTAATGGGCAGTGATGTCCACAGAGCCAACATGGCCCATAGAGCCAGAAAATTCTAGAAGTGAAAACATGATCCTGAGAACACATCCTGGAGAGTGTCTTGCCCAAGTCAGAGTTGCCTGTGTTCTCTGGTGTGTCTCTGCGAAGAGAGACCACACGGTTAGCTCTTTGGTGGGCACATTCTGCGTTCTGCCCAGCTCACAGTGAGCCCCTCTAATTTCCTTTCCACCCCCATACAATCTCACAATTACTTGGGAAGCACAAACCAACATCCCTGAAACAACATGGGCAGGGACCATCGGCAGTAAACCAGAGGCTATCTAGGAGTTTGGCGTCTCAGGGAACATTCACCTCCTTCCTCATGCCCTGTGGCATCACCTGAGAGTGCTGTGGATGGCCCAGCTTCCGGAAGCTCACCACATGCGTGTATAATCAGTTCTGACCAATTAAAACTTGGCTTATAATTGACCTTCCTATTCCTGACTGTCTTCCCTATGGATATCCAGAAAGACTACTGTTCTGGGCCAACTACTTCTCTGTGGATATGCAAAACCTAATGACGTGGAAGTGAGTCACTCAAGGCAACTCAGGGAGTGGGGCCCTTCAGAAACGATGTCTACCACCCCGTGAGCTCCTAATGCTGGGACAGGTAACCTCTCTGAACTACCGGGTAGTTGGGAGAAGAAAAGGACAGCACGTGTGACAGCAATTTTAAAATTTAAAGAGCTATCACAACTGCTCCTGTTTGCTGAGAGTTTACTGTGCCTCTGTGCTTTATGAAGACAAGAGGGTCTGGGAACTTCAAGGTGCTACTTACTCCCTCTGACCTATGTAAATCATTTAAATGGTCACATTTCCCATCGCAGCCAGGGCTGCCATGAAACACAAGCGAAATATGTGGCTCAACTGTGTAGGAGAGACTAAGGCTCTCATATCTCTGTTTTCATGGGTTTCCCCTGGGCATGAGTTATTTCATAAATTTGTATTTCTCCCAAGTACCAATTTTTATGTACGAGAAGAATATAGTTGAGGGATGATTCCTATTTACTTATATTCTGCTTTCATCCACAAAGCTGTTAACTATGAGTAACTCACAGTCAATAGCATCGTGGATGAAAGCAGAATATAAGTAAATTAAATCACAACCCTGAATTAGAATTCCTGCCATTCTGAATTCTAGGCACAACAGGGAAGAAGAAAGGTATTAAGAATATCAAGTAGGCATTTGTTTGAGTGGGATGTCCAAGGGACTGGTCAGAGGTGTGGACAGATGAACAAGTTCTTCAGCTAACTCAATAGCTGGCTCCCGAGCTTTCTTCCCACACCAAAGGATAAGACGAGCCAGGCAGCATCTTACCTTCTTCGATGGTTACATTCCCTCGGAAGAAATATTTCCCATGACCTCTGGAGAGCGCCACACCTAAACTGTGCAGAGAGACAAAGCAGATCTTGAAATCCCTGGCATCAACTCGAATAGACTTGTGGGCTAACATTTTTTAATTTTTCATTTTTCACATTTCCATTTTATAATCTGTAAACAATTTTTCCAACTGTTTACTTTCAAAACCCCACTGATTATCACTGGTGTTGGTTTTTCTTAGGTTCAATCAGCTGCTTCAAAGTCATTTCTGATTGGAAATGCCAGCAGCAATTGGCTACTCTTTGTGTTTTCAGAGTTGTGGCAAACTGCTCGCCCTTCCAGCAAGCCCTTCTCTCAGATGCCCTCCCAAGGACTATGCGGCCTGCTCTTCATACACCCTTGCCCTGCATTCAGTCAGAGATGGGTCTCTCCATCCTCTAGAGTTTGGGACTCAGGAAATTGACCCCTTCTCAAGGGCAAAAACAAAAACTTCCTCTACCACATGAGTGTAACTGCATTGGTGTTGCAGGCTTCTTTGCCCAATCCTCTCCCTGGTCTAATAGGTTTTTCACACTCACTGGTTTAAGATCCATTCTGTTTTTGTCTAAAGCAAGAGACTATGTTTTTAAAACACAGTCTCTTACTTTAGAAAGACTACTTGGCAAACCCACTTAGCAGCTCATGTGTTCCTTGTTTGCTCCTGGTTCCACATGGAATCCACCCATGATCCTTGGCAGTTTAGGACAACAATGCTAGAATTTATTTTTCAGATTATTCTATAGTCAGTAAACTCCTTCTCTCCTTAGCTCTGAGACACCAGTTCAGGAACATGAAGCAGGCCTACTGAAATAAATTTTTACAAAACGAATTACAACACTAAGTTAATAGTAGTGGGAAATTTTAGAATGCTACATACACATCTGAAAGCAGGCAATGAGGCAAAGCCATTTTTCAGGACTGTTACAAAGAGAAACAACAGGATTCAAAAGTAGACAAGCACACAAGGACAGTTCAGAGAAATGGAAACAGAGGCACAACATGTAGGGATGGATATGCCACCTCCAGGTTTGAAGGATTGCTTTTTTTTTTTTGGTCATGGAAATAAAAGGTGAAATGGAACTCACAAAGCAGCAAGTTCAATGGTTAAGGACCCTGGTAAACCTCTGCACTTGTCTTCACCCTTAGCGGGAACCCCCAAAGCATAGTTGCTTGACAATGAGATGCAAAGCCACGGCAGATTGAGTGAGTTCTCCTAGGTGAGCCTGAACCATCTCCCCCCCTTCTGGAAAACAAAAGCAGCCTGGGAAAAGCCCCTTCCTCACTCTTTCCAGCCTTTTGGCAGGGTGTTTGGTTATCTTCAGATGATGAGCTCTGAGAGTGTCAGCAGGTTTTGTACAAACACAACTGATGGGTCTGATGGAATGTCCATGTATTATGGTCAGCTCTACCTGAAAGGAGTACCCTTGATGTCTGTATAATAGTAGTCATTTGTCATCACCAAAACCCGTTTCTAGATTGAAAAAAAAAAAAAAAGTCGTAGAGAAAAGAAAACATGGTTAGTCTGCTAAGTGACGTCTTCAGAAATAAATAAAAATAAATGGACACACTATGATCAGGTTAACAGTACTACATGAATCTTGTTTGAGATAAGTAAAGACAAGAGAAAAATGATCTCAGCGAAAGATATTTATTCCAGATATAGCTTTCAAAGCTAATTTTTCACAGTGGTTTGTTTTAAATTAAGCGGCAAAAATGTTTGAGAAAAATGTACCCCTTTGTCCACTGTCTTCTTCACCTCCATGGAAAACTTCCCCGTCTTTCGATTCACCATAGCATTTCTCAACTAAAATGATAAAAGAAAAGTGTGTTAGTTCTTCCCTGGTTTATCATGTAATCTGGACACCTTGCATCCTCAGTGTGCCGTGGAGCCTTATACCTCGAAAACAGACTGAAGAAAAAACACCCAGCTGCTCGTGTACAATGGGAGACAGGCGAACAACAATAAATAAGTGACCTTCATCTTCAATTTGGGGAGCTCGTGTAAACTTCAGGACAATAACAAAAGAGCCTCGACAATACTGACGAATCCTGGGAGTCAGAGAGTGAACTCCTGGAGACCTGCTAAAATGCAGAGCAAGAATGTCTCTGGGGACGAGGTACGTTTTCAAAAAGGGTACTGATTTGTCATGGAGAAATCACTTTTCGAAACATAATCGAGTTAAAGACGTTTTCCTACACAGTAGTTAAAAAAAAAAAAAAGAAAGGCCAAGCATTTGGAAGACAGGGGTTAGCCTTTCCTAAGATGAATCATCTTTAAATGCTCCCTGAGAAATCTGGGTCAATTAATGACCTTGCTGATGAGGCAGTGAACAGGAGCGACCCTGTATCTGATTTTTGGAGGTCCCGTTTAGGAGCAGTGAGCCTGGCTCTCCTCTCCCACCCCCGGCTGACCTCATCTAATTACATGTGGCCCTTCCATGAGTTCAGAGGAGGACAGCAGACACGGTGATGAAAGATGTGCCGTCATGGGCACCAAGGCAAGACGACAGAGAAGGCCAGTTAATGGAATAGGAGCAAACGCTGACATGCCACAGCCTGTCAAGAAAGGTTCTCTCTCCACCCCTCTCTTGTCTTTTTCATCTTTGCCCCTTTTCTCCTTTGAGGAGCTTGAGTAAGATCTGGCCGATAGAAAACTGCAACACTAGCAAGCAACCTAAATTTGATTCGAGGCTGTGTAGATTCGGGTTTGCAATCTCATCTTCAGTGTGAGTGAGTAAACGCATAATTTTTAGCTGGAGGCATGTATAAAATAAAACATATATTTTACTCTAGATTTTTTTTAACAACACATAATGGGCATTTCTGGAAATATTTTCTCATTTTAACTTTTGTGGTTTTGGACATGGAGAGCTGGTCCTAATTAAGTCTACTTTCTAACTTTTAAAGAACGGCTCGATTTATCTTTAACATGGTTTTCATTTTTCCTCTTTCTGGTGCCTGCCTAAAGCCATTTGGGACCTTCTCCTCTCACACTCTCCAGGCAAACTAGAGATGAGGTAAGCCTCTCTGTGTCTCCATGGCACCCCGCCCCCAACTCCCAGTAGCACAGAACAGTCAGCATGGGGGTCTGGGAGTGTCCAAGGCCAGGGTCACTGGTGCCTCCTTTAGTCTTGCTCTTTTCTGAAATCATAACGAAAACAGGTTATACTTATTGAACCTACTTGTGAGGTAGGATGGCACTGTAGGTAAGAAATGGACTCTGGAGCCAGAGCTTTACGATCTTGGCTATCTCGATCACTTACCATCTCTGTGACTCAGTTTTCTCTTCTGAAAAATGGAACTAATGCCAGCACCCATCTCATTAAGTTGTAGTGAAGACTGATGAGTCAATATTTAGAAGAGTGCCTGGTGCCTCCTAAGCACTCAATACATGTTAGCTATCCTCCATCATCACCAACACCATAGTCAACAGCATCTTTATCATCGTTATCCTCATTACCATCTTCCTCATTTTCACTTAGTGTCAGACACCTTTCAGTAGCTTAAGGCATCAGGATTCGGACTTGAGTTTGCTTGACGCAGATGCACAAGCTCAATGTTTACCTTTCCAAGGTAAACTTTTTGACTTTGAACCATGTAAGAAATACCTCTTATTCTGATGATGACCCTCTCATCTCCTATTTTAGTAGACTTCATTGCTATGTTGCTCATGAACCACTAAATGGATTCTCTTCCAACTTCCCACGTTGAAAATTGCTGCTCTTAACTGCCTGTAGGTTTGCATAGACCAAAACGGAGACAGCCCCAGGTAAAGTGGTAAATCACGATATCAATGTTCAAGTTTTGCCACTGACACAAGCCAGCTGTCCCGTGACCTCTCTGTGGCTCACTTTCTTCCTGTTCATTCATTCTGTCTAAAATGTTCATGAGTGAGGACTCCCAGACCCGAGGGATCCTGTCAGGTGCTATAAAAACAGAGGTCATCAGATTCCTATGAAATTCAGATACTACTGAGAGATACTACTTACTGAGCTCTTACTGAGCTCTTACTGTGTGTCAGGCACAGATTTTAAAACCCTCAAACTTATCTGCTGAGGCGCTGTTATTATCCCCATTTTACAGGTGGAGAAATAGACACAGATAAGAAGTTTGCCCAGGGTAACGAGGCCTCTGCCTCTTGAGCCCCTGCTCTTAACCTCTGCTTCCCAAATCAGAAGAGAAAGCACTTGGACAAAATTAAATATTTTATAGCATTAATATAAAAATCATATAGTATTTCTGAGCTTTTAAAAAACCAAATAAAATGTTTTAAAAACTGACCATGTCATAGTCTGAGGTCCTAACTTCCTGGCAGACTCTTCTACAAGCTCTAAGTACTATGATCTAGGGTTGACGGGAAGGTGGTTTTCTCCTCCTTGCCAGAGGAGGAAAGGGAGTTTGATGATTTAATAGACTGTCCTGTGAGAATACAGCATTGTGAGGTGGAGCATTCTAGAAATGTCACTTTTTTATCTTAGGAGGCTGTGGCTTGAGAAAAGGAGCAACTTGCCCAGAATCACAGTCACTGGCACCCCTAGGTTGTAAGATGGCAGAGGAGTCCTAAACACAGGCCAAAGTGATGGGGAAGAGCAATGCAATCTGTCCCCACCTAGGGCAGGGAAGGTGTGATGTTCGCTGCTTTGAACTTGCCACTGCCTGGATTTACGACAATGAACAACTGGAAAAATGCAAACGGCCTGGCAGAGGAAAATTTCCAAACAAGTTTTGATGTGCCCATATGTTCGCATATTATGTAGTCATTAAAAACCCCATGTGCAGCTGTTCAACTTAACACATAGAGAAAGGCAAATTAAAACATCAGTGGCATACCTTGATTTTTCCATATCAGATATCAAACATCTGCAAGTGTGATAATGCAGTGGACATTAAAGCAGCTTGTACCACAGTATACTCAATAAAATAAGAGGTAAAATCTCCTCAGGCTGAAAACGCTCATCTGGCGACAGTGATAGCCTCTCCACTCTATGAGAACCACCCTTTCCCCTGGGCCCTGCACTGTCCAGTTCAGATGTGCTTCTCCAGAGCCCCTGGTGAATCTGTCTCTCTTCTGCAGTGCTGAAGCTGCAGCTGCTTGGATAACCACTCAAAGCACCCACTTTCCTGCCAACCTCGTTACAGCTGGAAGCCATGTTTCCTGTTTCATTGTTAGCCTGCTACTCTGACCAGCCATGTTACAGCTCATTAAAGCAGTTTTCCCCAGAGGTTCACTGGCCACCTTAAGTTGTGTGTATGATTATGGAATGATAGCTCGTGCTCCTAATGGTGGCTCATTGTCCACATTAAAACATGAGTCTCACCTTTTCTGGTGCACAGGCAGCCTGCATTTCTAAGCCCCTAATGACATGCAACCACGGACAAGCTGGTGGATTAGAGAGGAAGGGAGACACAGTGGATAAACAGGTCTGTCATTCCCAAGCAAGCATTGAACCAGCGTAGGAAAACAGACTTGGGCATGGAGAACCTGTACAACATTCTCTCTCTCTTCCTCCTCCCCTATGGGTCAGCCTGGGTTTGGAGCAGGTGGGGGAGTGTTGTGATTAGTTTGGGTGTCCAGAGCTCAAGCATGAGCTGGAGAGACACTCTGGGAAGGGTATAAAAAAGAATCAAATAAATGATTCTCAGAAGGTCTCAGAAATATGCCCCAGGAAAAAGGCTTTTTTGCCTTATAGGGCTTCAGGCAAAAAAGACTCCGGAGAAATTTTCCATCAGAGTCATCACGGGTATGAAGCAATGTAGTTGCCTAGAGGGTAGTAGGGGAAAAAAGGCTTATACCACAACGGAAGGCATTGTAGTTAGATTCAAAGTAGAATCTATGGGGCAGTATTCACAACAATACCATGCAGACAAACATCTGTTTAGCAGCTACTACGTGCAAGGCACTTCCCATCTTTTCTGCACCCCGAAAGGAAGATAATCCATATACTATGCATCACTGAAATAGAGTCTTCAAGGACTCCTGGACTCAAGGAATTAAGGGCTCTCTCTATGCAATATCCAAGTGTCAAGAGCACGGCTCTGTGGGCCAGGCTGCCTGAGTTAGAATCCACACTCTATGTCCTTAGGCCATTACATCCATTCTCTACCTCAGCTTCTCTACCTGTAGAATGGAGAAAACAAAAACACCCATTTCATAGGTTTACTGTGAGAAATAAATAAGTCCACTCATGTATATCACTTAGAATGGTACTGGTGTATAGGAAGAGCTAATATATGGCAGTTATTATTTATATGAGTTTTTTCTATTAGTAGATATAATCACATTCAATGTGGAAAGCTTGGGAATGACTGAAAGTTAATAGGAACAAAACAAAAAAATCATCCTTAATTCCTTGTGCCATCTCTGAAAATTTACAACCAAAGGATACACGCTATTTTTAAGATAAGTTTCCCTTCCCAGAGGGGATCTACACTGGCGATTCAGACTGGGCTATGCATGTCTCAAAATTCTCTGCTGGCACATGAGTACCCCAAAGATCTGCTCTATTTACTGTATTCCTGACCTGATGCCTAACACATCCTGAAGTGTGGGACAGAAGTCCTGCTCATACTCCTCTAAATAATTTTAAATTGTTGTCTTTTTTTCTTTTAATTTTAGCCAGTCTATTTTATATGCATTTTAACAGTATATATGAACTTACTTCAATTTTGGAAGTATGCAGGTTATAACTGTGGTTATTAAATTCAGGAGCCTACTTCCTAGAGAAGTAGAACTCACCTTCCAGTAAGTTCTCTGCATCCGGGCAGACTCCACTGCTTCTTCCTCAGTGGGCTGTGCTTACATGGTCTTTCCTAGATTTCGATCTTAACCCTGTCCTCTGCTACTGAGGTGCAAACCCCAATGCCCAGCACATGGACATGTGAGATTTTGTGCAGACTTCACAATGATGCTTTCTGTAGATTGCAGAATTCTCCAATTAGTGACGTGCAAATCCCCAGGAGAGAAATGGTGGTTTGGGTTTTCCCAAGTCAGATATGTTGATAGAGAAGAAATGCACCATACTCCAAGGCGAAAGAGACTCAAACCAAAGAGATAACCAGAGACCAATCTGCGTGGAACAAAAGCACCGGACTCGCTTGAAACACAGGAACTCTGAAGTTGGACGGAGAGAACGCAGTCCTGGGTGTCAGGTGGAAGTGAAGAACACGCATGTGAGACTGCGAATCCGATGCCTGTGGCTCCAACAAGAAAGGAAAGTAGGATGAGGAGATACAAGGTGTTCCCAAACTGTGATTACTAAAGGAGACATTCGCTCACTGAAAATTAGCTGGGGCACAGGTGATGATTGGAGTAAGCGGAGTCATACATCTCTTCAAGTAGCACGCAAAAAGGGAGACGATTCAGTGAGGTCACAAACAAGCAAACAAACAAAAATAAATCAACAGCTAAAGTGAAGAAGGAAGAGGAAGGGCAAAAATGGAAAGTCCCCTCCAAAGATTCATAGCAACTGTAAATCCACAGGACATTCATTCATGACAGGGTCCCCTGAGGACTGATGAGGTCAGAATAATACTAATAATGGATACCACTTGTAGAATGCTCACTGTGTCCCCAGAATGGTGCAAGTACTTTTCTGTTTTTCAATCTATTAATCCATTTAATCCTCAGAACAGCTCTATGAGGTCGGGACAACTGTCATCACACTCATTTTCTTGGGGAAAAATAAAACAAAGAACACAAAATAAAACTGAGGTCTAGAGAGGCATGATCACCCACCCAAGCCAAACATCTGGCAAGCAGCAAAGGTGGGATTTGAACCTGGCAGGAGTCTAACACCTGAGTGGCACTCCTCACAACTGTGCAAAGCCAGGGTGGGCACATTAGGTGCAGGACAATCCTGAACTGACCGGATCCTTGTGACAGTGTTTAAGGAGCAAGAAGATTGAAAACTCGACCATGCTATTGAGCTGACACTATGTCAGGCCACTGGCTTGCGGGGAAAAGGATATGGAGGAGGAAGGAGCTTTTATCAAATGGCAAAGTTATTTTGTCTAAACTTGGGTTTAAGTAGTAGACTTAGTGCAGATGAAGAAGAAAAGAGGTTACATTTCTAAAACGGGTATGGCTCTCGCATTTTACGGGCAAGGATGGAAATGAGAGATTTATGCTAGTCGAGCTGGTGACAAAGTGCAGAGGGTGTGGAAAGAAGGAAAGCTGCAGTAGAAGCACCGTGATGCTGGCCTCATGTTCTGGAAGGCATGAGAACCCAGTCTGGAATTTCAAACGGTTTTCCTCAACATCCCTTTGGAGAACAGGATGCAGTGAGAGATGGAAACAATGCTAACTCAACAGTGGAACTTAAGAAAGGACCCCAGACGAATCTGGGGGTGGGTAGGGCAGAGAAACGTGGTCTCGGTACAGAGACACCCTAAGAAAAAGTGAAGAGTAGGGACCCAGATGGAAACACCTGGGAAGTTACGATTTAATTAAGGAGAGTCCACCTGGATTCACACAAAGGCAGCCGTGTCTAACAAATCTGATTTATTGAGGAAGTACCAAGAAGACTTGACAGGGTTAAGTCATGGGCATAAGGAGAGCTTTTGATAGAGCACCATAGGCTGAATCTATGTGGGAAAAAGCATGGGGTGCAATTGCAGCAAGGCCGGAGCAGAATGAAAGGCTGGGAAGGTACAGGAAATGGGAAGCCTACCAAGCAGGAGGAAAGTGAGCCTGCAGAGCCCTGGGCTGCACTCTGAATACAAGGGCTGTGCCCATGAGGTCCTGACAGGTGAATTCTTGCTGCACAGGAACCTGCCTGCTTGGCCTGCAGGCACTGACTGCACCGGGCAGAGCCTGCTATTGCCCAGCCAGATTCCACTGAAGATGTCAGGGGCCATCCACTGCGCTGGGAAGGAGGCTGGAGTCATCAGCTGCAGAGGGGACCGGCGTCCGCCAGGGGATGGTTTTAGTAGACTGCACAAGCAGCTGGGGTGGCGGGCCTGTCTGCAACTGGTCCGACTGACCGGCCGGAGAGTTATAAAACTCCACACATGGTACAAAGGCCCATTGTCTCCACGTCTCCACGTCCCTCTGGTGGCCAGGTGTCCCTTCAGTGGGCCTCTTGGCCAACTCCTGGGATCGCCCCAGGTACAGAAGTGGGTACAATGCAGCTCCTTCTCCACGAGGCCTGAAAACAAATCACTTACCACGTCATCTCGGTCTTCCCACTCCACCTCAGAGAGGTCAACGCTACTATAGTTAGGTTTCCTTCGCTTTTTTCCTTCTTCATACTAGCAAGGGGAAGAAAAACAAGAAAAGAAAAGAAAAACGAAAGTCCGTGAAGTCTTCAGCCAGGGCAATCTTTATCTTCCCAAGTCCTGTTTCACGGACAGGGCTTTGGAGGGGACCGATGTGGGTGAGAAGCCCAGCAGGGTGACAGTCCTAGGGACTTTTAATGACAGGAAAGTCAAGGTCAGCTGCCTCTAAACATGTGCTCCAAGTTGGGAGAGTAGAAAAGTTAACTCTTTGCTTGATATGAATTTACCCTGTAGACTTCTTGGATTCCTAAACAAAGTGCAGAGGGTGTGGAAAGAAGGAAAGGAGATGCAAAGGAAAATCTGTCCCCTCCTTGAATGGGGTGTGTGTGTGTGTGTGTGTGTGTATACACGTATATAGTATACATGTAAACAATGTAAATTCTATAAATGATAGCAGACTAGTTAGCAGTTGGATTTGTCTTCTCATTGAATGGTGTGTGTGTGTGTGTGTGTGTATTCCAAAGCTGCTAAAACTCAATCCATGATACGAGAAAGGGCTTCTTACTTACATTTACCAAAAATCTAGTCATATCCCCCTATACTTTATAATTCTCCCTCCTCTACCTTTTGTCTCAAACCTACCCGCACTCCTTAGCTAGGAAGCAAAAGCACTGATCTCCACAGCTGGGGCTGGGCTCAGCATGCTGGTGGCATTTTGCAGACACACGGAACCATCTATTTGTTGTCACACTGGCCACAGCAGTACTGAACTAAGCACGGCTCTTTTACCTGGCGTAGACGAGGGTACTGGGAATCACAGCCAGATTTAATGGCTGTTAGGGCATTTCTCCGGAAAAGCTGATGAGTGCATGAATAACTGGGGAAGTGGTTTTAGTTTTCTCCCCTAAATCACTGGTGTTAGTCACCCTGCAAGCCTACCATTTTATCGACCGGACGTTCTTGTGTCTGGACGTTCTTGTGTCTTGAGGCCTTTCATGCTGGTTGTGGGTGTTTATAATGTAGGAAAGTCTGCCCTCTGCTGCAGGCTAAGGATTAGCAACCCCTTTACACGTTCATCAGATATGGTTAATGGCACACTGGAAAAATATATATGCATGCATACTGTTTTCTTTTTCACTTTTCTCTCCAGATTGGCCATCTTTTGATTTAACTAGAAGGTTCTAAGTAAGATACAGGGTCAGTCTAAGTATTTTAAGACCCCAAAACCATAGGCTGCCACTTTGGACACTGATTGGCTACTGTGGAGACAGGTGCTGAGGCCACACTGGGCATGAAGGAGAAAACTGCCACCCATATGTTGAACCAGACAAGTGTAAACTGACCCCCAGTGCGATGAGGGGAGGGCCAGACGGGGTCGATCTTCCACCACTGTGGTGCCAAACAGGGCCAAGTGTCTATGCATGCACTCTTTTCTTACCTGTCAACTGCATTTCAGGAACTCTGCGACCTCTCTGGAGACTCCCCCTCCTCACCATTATCTAGGATGGTGCCTAGCCTCCTATGGCCAGTGGGCTCTTACCACCCTGATCAATGGTGAGACCACCCCCTACTCTTAGGTTTTCAATTAACAGACATTCACGGCCAGTTTTATGACATCAGATCCACTCCAGATGAAGGGGAAGGAAAGTGGTTCCCTCAGAAGCGGCTGTAAACAATAGCAGATTAGCAGTTGGATCTTGTTAAGGAAAGTTCCTGTGCGCATGGAAGCCCTGGTCCTTGTGAGATGCAGTCTTGGGCTGAACAGAAAGAACAGGAACGAGATCAACCGGAGTTGTCAGCAGTGGTGCCTTGCCCCTCAGTGTGGAGGAGTGCAGGGAGGGATGGTCGTGTCCCCCTGAGGACTTAGAGTCAGACAGTCATTCTGGACCTCTGTTGCCTAAGAACCATTACTGACACTATTAGGCACCCCAGAAACTCACACAGCCCAGATCCTGAACTTCACAGGCAGAACTTTCATAATTTCTCGGGTAGCCTGATGCTGGATCTAAACTGTCTATTCAGAGGAAGTTCTTTCTTTGGTCACTTCAAAGTGCTTCTTTATTCATTTATTCAATGCACATTTATTGGACACCTACTAAGTGCAAGGCACTAAAGATACAAAGTCAATTAAACAGTGCTTCATTCTTTCCCAAGGACTTACTTGTAGTTTATCCTTCTTAATTCTGCTTCTTGAAGGTCAATTTATTGCCCATAATGCATTTGGGAAAACAGGCTCTCACATGTTAAATAAATTAAGTAACAACTTAAATAAGATCGCATAGCTAGTATGGTAGAGGACACTCCACCCACCACCAGCCCCGGTTTAAATTTTCATGTCTAAGCCTCATGTTATTTCAACCACTGTTAAAGAGCTTTGAAAAAAGACTACAAGCTCCAGAGCAACAAATGCTCCTTCGTCCTCAAAAAAAAGGTCCATGCGTCTTTTTCAGAGGAGAAGGTCACAGTGGCTCTGCCATGTCACACCACTCATATCCAGCTACTCCAAGCTTCTTTCCTCAGTTGCAAATGGGTAAAAACAATAGTACCTCAATGGCAAAGAAAGGTTGAGAGTATTAAATGAGATATTGTATGTAAAATGGCAAGCACATTCCCAGACACAGTAAAATCTTTTAATATTCAGCTAGCAAGATTCCTGAGAGTCATGCATTTCGTGGAATGACACGCTCATTGATATTAAAATTGGCTAATATCTCATTTTCCTGAAATGAAGAAGATCGTTCAATAATTTTACTGGCCACCATTCTGCAAACCATAGGCAGAGAGAAGCTGTTTGTTGACTATGATGGTGTCAGACAATCACATTCATATGTCTCTAACTGGTGTGTAGCTTACAAGTTTGAACTGAAGACTCTCCTGGCAGAAAAATTCATACTTGTGCTAAAGAACCCAAGTCATTTTAGATGGTATTTGGCAAAGGTGGAATCAGCAGATAATTATTGACTTCTGATCCTTCCCAAATGTCTTTACTCATTTTTTATAATCTCTCAATAAATACAGGACATTGCACCAAAAAGGTATTCAAGATATATGGGATGATTAGAGAGTGATGGAATAAAAGATTTCCCATCATACTAGCCCATGAGACACCATATTCCAGCAAGTCTCTATAATCTAATTTCATGGCAAGCTACAGATAGGGGGTAGGGATACTTCCTCTGGAACACTGTTTAAGAATGCCCTTCTACAATGTCTGCTTAGCCAGGTATGGAAAATGGGTCTGAAACACTTTTCATTTGGGTCTTTATTAAAGAATAAGCTCCTTTAGAATATAAACAGTCATGCAGCAGAGTGATTAATTTGAGTGAGAGAAGGAAAAGTCAGTGGGCTGTTGCATAGATATAACAGGCCAAGAGCTATGAGACAACTCTAACGTACTAAGCCTAAATCCACCTACCTCTTTTCCCTTACTAAGAAAGTACATTAAAAGGCCAGAGAGTGGCGCTCCATCAGGAAGGTTCCTATGCTTTGTCCTGCCACCACCCATTCCCCACGTTTTCCAGGTTAATCACCTCGGTTTTCCTGTAGGGAACTCCTTGGGCACCACTCCCATTAAGCATAATTCTAGTGAAGGTATAGTCATGTGGCCTGATCAGCGAGGGAGGTCCACATCACTCCAGGATGTCACTGGTTCAGAGGTGGGTACGTAACCCACACAAATTCAAATGAGATTCAATTTGGGATGCATTCCTGGATTTATCCAGAAAAAGAGGTGTTGCTAAGGTACCAGGATGGGAACTTCGAATAGCTCATGGTCATCTCTGCCACTACTTGGAGACAGTCTTACCGGGCATGAAGCCAGTGCAGGGAAAGCAGAGAAAGGATATGAAGAGAGTCCTGAAAATGTGGTATATGCACCTGGATCAGGCTGTACCTGAAATTCTTGGATGTTTTGTATATCAATACTTTATCTCCACATTATCCCCCTTCCCTTTTAAAGGCTTTTTTTTTTTTTTTTTTTTTTAAAGCTGGCTTAGATCTTAAGCATTGAGTAGTCAACAGAATTCCAACTTATATATATTCAGTGCCTTTATTTTTTTCTTTTCAAATAAACTGCTTTTAAAGTACATGTTATGTGAAGTATTCACAAACATTGGTGCTTTCATGATTATCGAGGAACATGTGATTTATAAAATGCCTCACTACTCTCCAAGATACACGACTGTGTTTGAGCACAGTTGATCTCTCCTTGGCTACTCACCCTCACCCCTCACCCCCATGAGTGACAGAAAAAGAACTAAATTCTCAAATGTCCAACTCCCAGGCCCAGTCTCCCCTCTCCCATGCAGTTTGAAAAGGGGACAAATCCCAGGTCCCTCGGCTCCACAACTCCCTCTTCTTCTGCGTGAGGAGTTGGTTACCGGGGCCTAAGCATTGTGTATGGCATTTGTTAGTGTATCTATAATCTGTAACTTCCTTTGAAAATGTGATTAACAAATTGCAAACGGTTTCCAAAGGTTTATAAACAGATACTTTGAGAGCCACAGGTAGGTTTGTAGTTTTTGGTGCCTGTTTTATGAAAAAAATCTGTGGGGGAGAATTTAATAAGGAAAGATATTCTGTGCTAAGGAATACTTTGAGGTGGAGTTTCAAATAAAGGCCAGATGTGGGGAACACACAAACAAGCCCTTGGCCTAGCAGGATGGGACAAGAGGGCACCCATCCGCGGAGCAAGCTGGAACCAGGACTTGCCTGCAGCCCAGAGCCTTCCTGGCCGTATTTAATGGTCTGGATACCAGCACCCTTTTGTGTTACCTACAGACTGACTTTGGAGGCACAATGGGCTGGGCCAAGGCAATGGCCATGTTGATTTAAATAAAACAAAACCCCTTTGCTCTTTCTGTATTCTTCTGGGAAAGGCCAGAGGAAATCAGCTGTACACATCCATGCAGCCTCTGTGGAACAAATGCTGTGTGTGCTAGTAATTGATAAACTGTATGTGCCACTCCACGCTGCCAACAGGAAGGAAGGGGATAGAAGGAAGGGGAGATCCCCAACTGCAGAGGAAGAAACTT